TTGTTTTTTTTTTTTTTTTTTTTTTTCTCCAGTGAAGGTACCATTTTAAAGGTATGCAGAATTCTCAAGGCACTGAATTTTAAAATGTAAAAGCTTCAAAAACAAACATTTTGGTCCCTCAAAATCAATACCCAGAACCTTATCCGAAATGAGGGACGGATATGGATTTTAAGGGGGAACACATGGTAGATGGCAGGAGGTGGAGTTGAACTTGCGCCCTTTTCTGAATGGATCGCTCTGGATTAGTGCCTTGTTTTTGTACTAGTGGACGGCCCACTTGCACCATACCATGTGACCATTTTCTGGCACCCCTGAGGAAGCCAGAAGGCACCCTGTTTTGAGAGGCTGATCTAAGGAGACAGAACTAGATCAGTTTTTGTAGCACCCTTTATGTGATAGAAACTTCTAACTTTCAGTACTGCATGATGTGAAAAGCATCCTAGAGCTTAGCCAGCTGGCAAGATGGCCAAATAAGTAATATTTTATAGTTGCCCAATAAAATAAAAAAACACCAGGTTGTAGAAAAATGAACCCTTGCAATGGGGCTACCCCCGCACTGCAAGAGTTAATGTCGGTTTTGGTCTAGGTGATGATGAGCTCATCTGATCCTTGGTTCCAACTGGCTGCTACGCTGGTCCCCGCAGTCTCTTCTCCACTGGGCTCTGGCAGTTTAAGTCCTGCTGACGTAATCACATTTATTGCAGGGTTGGTTATTCATCTGTACTAAATATGAGGACACCAAGGGATATACCACAGCTAGAGCGGAGGGTCCTCGCTTCCGCAGGACAGAGGATCAGGTGAGTACTTCTTTCTTCCAGCCCCTAGAGAAAAACGAGCAGTTAACCTTGCAGTGCGGGGGTGGGGTTAATGTTTCTAGAACCTGGAGCTCTTCTTTAAAATTGTATTTAAATTGGTCAGTTCACTGATCAGTTTCATGTCTTCACAGGTTCCCGTTTACTCTTTGGTTGCCGTGTCCAGGTAAGCTGGCTGAAGAAGACGCACAAGAGAAAAATATCTTTCCAGACCTTTCTAGAGCCTCATTCCAGTGTCCCTTGTATGAGCTTAAATAAGGAACCTGCACCCAGGGGTGTCGAGTGCCTTCGCCTCATCTGTGACCAACTCGGCTTGGCTCAGCCAGTTTACCAAATCAAGTTTCTCCGTCTTGGCTCATGTGGATGGTTGCGGTTTTGGTATCAGGTAGCCATACCAAACTATTGTGATCCATTTACTGGATATGCCTGGTTGATTGGTGACAAACTCATCCCCACTGACAAGTATGAGCAAGCAAAAGAAATTGTTGCATTAAGGATACTGGCGAAACTAGGTGAGTGGTATGCGTGTAAATAAAAGAACCCCAAAATCCACATGGGAAAGATTGAATCAGGAAGATGTGTGTTTTTGCTTTTAGTAGCAGATTATAGATGGATACATATGACTTGTAGGTTTTAAAGCCCAATTGTATGTTCTGCACTCCTCTCGCATCCTTAAAGTGACATTAAAGTCCTATTTTTTTTTTTTTTATTTCCCCCCCAATGTTAATGAAAGCACTTTTTCACTCACTTCATAGTTCTAGCCGACCTGTGACTATGAGACTGTCACAGTTCGGCTTGGTAGATCGGGAGGTGAGCGAACATATACCAGGTTCCCTCGCCTCTCGATCCTGTCACAGCTCTCTGTCGTGACAGGGGGAGGGGCTGGATTCCCCTCTCCGATCTGCCAGCGCTGACTGGCGGAACGGAAGGGGGAGGGGGCGGGTACAGCTGGCTCTGCCTCTAGATAGGCAGAGCCAGCTGTCACGCAGCTGGGCGGATCCCGTCATCTAAGTTGGGATCCGCTGCGGCGTCTCAGTATACCGCGAGCTGTAGCTCGTGGTATACTGAGCTTAGGGTGACGGGAGGACGCTAGTTTGTGTCCTCCCGTTACCTTAAGGAGAACTATGGGGAAAAGCCCTAACCCCATAGTTCTCCTTTAATCCGATCTTTCTTGTCCTTTTCATCTGTCCCTCCAGCGCTGCGGGTCTCAGATCCAGCGCCGATTCCTCTGAGCTTGCACTTCCTGTCCCACGGTGTCTGCATGCGGGTGCATGCGTCCATAGACTTGTGTCTCTCCTCGCGTCCCAGACAAAAATGTGAACTGCGCCCGCCCAAAGGTGCTTTGTGGCCGCCAGAGGATCTTCACATTTTCGGATGGGAGCGTGTAGGGAAGACACAGGTGAGTATAAACCTCTGTTAAAGCGGGTTTTTTTTTTTTGCATAGATCTACTGCTAGCAAAAAACAGGCTTTAATTATTCTTTAACCCCTTCGTGACGGGAGACGTACAGTGTACGTCTTGTCACTTTGTGCCTATATGACTGGCCACGTACACTGTACGTGACGAGTTATATCAGGCTTTGTAATGCCGGTATTTGCTGATTCTCAGCATTAACAGTCATTAATGAATGTCTCAGTATTGAGGCATTAATTAATAAAATAATTAAGCTTTTTGTAAAAGCTTCTTCCTTTCAGTAATGAAAGAATGAAGCCGTTACATGCAAATACAGGACCGCAATTTGCGATCCCGTATTTAACAGCTGAAAATAGCAGAGAGGCAGCAGTGACTCACCTCGCCTCTCTGCTATTTGTTTTGACAGCTCAGGGGGTCTAGACTTGCAAGAGCTGTGTCCTTTTTTCTTTTTAATTGAATATATTTTGTAAAATATCCTGGAGTTAATTTTAATCTATTCTGAAGGATGATTCTAGGCCCTGGGGGCTAGAGGTCCTCTGAAGTCTGGCAGTTGCTTCCCATTCTCCCCCACCCCCCCTTTTTCCCCCCCTCTTTACACTTTTTTCTTATCTGCATGTAGTTAATACATAGAATGATATTCATGTAAGTTGTTTGGGCTTTTTCTTCTACTTGTACAATTTTTACACAGCCAATGTTTATTTGCATTTCAGGGTATGTCGGTGACTAGTGGCCATCGCTTTTTCAAGATCTGGATAATCTGGTTTTATGTTTTTATAGTGTTATGTAAATATAGATATTTAATCACTAAAGCATAATTGTATCTAAATAAGTTCTGTTGCACTTGCAGTACAAATAGCACATAACTACTGAAGTTCTGAAACTGGACCATGTATCAGTTTGGTTTTTACCCTTGGTAGGGGGTAGCGATAGACATGGTGAATAGACTTTGTGAAAGCCATTTGCTGGTGTCTGTTTTTGCACTTGCACAATTTTGTTAAAGATAATGTTTTTATATGCAATTTTTTTTTTGCACCTGACACATTTTGTATTTTTCAGCTTGTACATTTTTATGAACACTTAAGACTTTAGTTTATTTTTTTGTTAATGTTTTAAGACGTTTGATATGTAGATTTTAGAAAATCTGTAATACAAGATAAAAATGGGTAAGTGTGTGTGTAGTGTTTTTTTTTTTTTTTTTAAAGGTCTTAAGCATAAAACATGGAAATGTAGTGCTGAGATATACTGCATGTGGGTTTGTTTTTCTTTCCCTGCCATGTGCTTTAAACATTTCATGCATTAACTATCCACACTGCATTAGTTATCATTTTAATAAGATGGGTTAAAAAAAAAAAGCCTAGTCACAAGATGTTTAGTAATAGATAAATATGATTTTAGTGATCACTTAACATTTGTCAAGAAGGAGTAAGATACTTGTAGGAAAATATTTCAATAAACTTTTATTTTAAGGCAAGTTATCTCATATTAAAAAAAAAAAAAAAAAAAAGTTTGGCTTTTAAGCTATGAAAGTTTTTTTTTTTCCAGCTGGATTGTAAACTTACTTTGAGGACTTGTTTCCCACATCCAGTAGATAATACCTTAACAAAATCAACAACGTGTAGCCTGACCGGAGCTGCCAAACTTTAGCACGCAACACAAGTGCATTGTGAATAGTTGAGACGCTATTCGATGCCTATAGGGAAATATACAGCATGTCCCCTAACGGTTTAAAGTTCCAATCAGACATCTATCTGTAGCACAATATATACTGACCACCCCTGCTCTTAGAACTCTGTATGGAGTCCAGTTTTCAGTAACAACAAATTCAAACACTATTCCCTTTTCTATTATTTTAGTACACCAGTGGTAATGTCAGCTCAATACAGGAAGTTTGGAGCAGACTGCAATTCTGACAGGATCACTTGCTCCTTTTTTAGTATTTGCTATGATTTGAAAGTCTACTTTTAGCTTAAGCTTAAAAATTAGAATTATTTTTTTTTATACTCACTGTAAAATCATTTTTTAGGAGTCCATTGAAGAAGAAATCTTTAACCTTTAAAGGAGAACTGAGGTGAGTGCTTTTCACTCACCTCATAGTTCTAGCCGACCTGTGACAATGAGACTTGTCACAGGTCGGCTCAGTAGATCGGGAGGTGAGCGAACACATACCGGGCTCGCTCGCCTCTCGATCCTGTGACGGGGAGGGGCTGGATTCCCCGCTGACTGGCGGGAGGGGGCAGGTACAGCTGGCTCTGCCTCTAGATAGGCAGAGCTAGCTGTCACTCACGCAGCTGGGCGGATCCCGTCATCTAAGTTGGGATCCGCTGCGGCGTCTCAGTATACCGCGAGCTGTAGCTCGCAGTATACTGAGCCTAGGGTGACGGGAGGACGCTAGTTTGTGTCCTCCCGTAGCCATATGGAGGGTTGGAGATTGGCAAAGCCCTCTTTGTGCGAAGTAGACTTTCTAGCAACTGAAGGGCGCCACCAGAGGCAAACAATTAGTCTGTGGGCTGAAGGGTACTCTGCACCTGAATCGTAAAGAGGCGAGGGCAAATTGTAGAAGTGGGGGTGCATATTCATGTAGAAGGCTGTTCAAAGGGGTTACTTTACCTCTGAGTTTGAGCTCTATGGGCTGACGAGGAGTCAGGCTCTGAGAGTGCTTACTGCAGTAGATGAAGGGGGTGGGTAAGATTCATCCGACCGCTCCCTAGACCGCCTACATTTTTCCTGGAGCACTTTGTCCTCTTGTGGCATTACTGATCCAAGGGTCAAATGCAGGTCCAAAGAGATTATGTCCCTGAAAGTCCAAGTGAGTAAGCTGCTCCTTGGGTGTGTGGGAAGCGCCCCAGCAGCGTAACCAGAGTGCTGTATGTACATTAGATCCATGTGGGACTTAGTTTAGTTGTCTGTAACAAGCCCTCACAACTGAAGCATAAGGCTCCACATGAAACAAAGGTCTACTCAGCGGTGGAAAGTTCCATTTTGAGAGAACTAACCTAATCACACACTTTGGTGGATTAAGATAATGGCCACCACCCAGTTCAGGCTGGTTTTTTAAGGACTGATTCTAGCTGCCTGTAAAGCCTTAGCCAGGTACTTACTGTTATTTTTTTTTTTCGTGCTCTCTCTGCTTCTTGTAACATATGTTCATGTATCAATGACAGCTGTAGAGTTCAAAACACAGGCTTAAAGCAGAAGGCTGACCGTCCATATGTATGATGGCACACACTGCGTGAATAGGGTCCAACACAACCCCTTTTAATTCTGAAGTAATAGTAGGAAACTGCAGTGCCTCAGTTTGACTGATTCTGAGTCCCAGCAGTCTGTCATGGTGACCAGTTGCTCGGCTTACAATAAGGGCTTAGGAGGGTCAGACATGGCATCTGCAGGGGATGATTCTAGAGCACGTTTAGGCTCTGACAAAAAGTCTCAAGTGGACATAGACTTAATCCCACCATACTAAATAAAGGAACACTGATGACGTAGACACTATAAAAACTATAGCTTGCAGACATCAGTTTCCCCCGAGGATACTGAGTAGATGTCCCCAGACCCACTAAGGAAATATGGGCTGGGGTCACCCACAGGTGTGTTGGGTCCTTGGAGGGGGTAATGCAACTAGGCATAAGGTGCCCATACACTGCTCGATTCACGGAAATCCCACGATCGTACCAGAATCGAGCAGTGTGAACGAAGACTTGCGACCGTTTCTACTGTACGGTCGCACGTCTTTTGTCTAAGGAGCACGCTAGAAAATCGTGCGATTTTCGGCTGGTTTGAACGGTGCTTGGGAGACAAAGGCCGAACGGCCGCTGTGCACACTGCACGTTCAGCATTGCGGTCATTGGAAGCCCGCCCCTCGGGGGCGGGCTTGCCATGATCGAGAGTACAATCTGCCTGTCCAAGATGGGCAGATCGTACGTTTTTTAAAATTACTTTACAACCATCGCAAGACTAAGGTCTTGCGATGGTTGTACAGTGTATGGCCACCTTTAGAGTGCAAGGCATCAGTTTCTCACAAACCCAGGCACCTGGTGCTGATGAGGGTCTGGGGGCTGGAGGTGACCAGGCCATACTGGATGGGCAGTGGGAATGCACTGGAGATAGATGGGGTGCTTTGCAAGCAGGAGCAAAGAGCAGGATTGTGCTTTCTCTTTGCTGAAAGCATGCGACACTCCACCCAGTTAATTAACTCTCAGGAAGCTGAAACCAGTGTGGGTGAGAATTTTAAAAGGCACCCAGCAATGCAAATCATAAGGAAGCTACCAGTTCTTAAGCCTGAATGCCCTTGCAGTAAATCTTCCCAGCCATTGCCAGTGTTGAGTCTTGCTGTAGCTTTGGACCTGGAATGTGCTTGGTGGCTTAACTTTTACCAGTATAATCAGGTCTGGAAAGCATCACATTGCAGCCTAGCCCTACACATCCAGTACAGTGCTCTGGGTATGGCTACCAAAGTCAGACTGAGAAAGGGCCAATCCTTATAGCTGCTATGTAGAAATCAGTTTTTTGTGGTGTGATGAGCAGTCTTGCCTGGAGTCAATAGAAGAAGAAAAATCCACTAACCAAAAAGAAGAAAAACAAGCTAGCAGCAAAAATTGGTTAATCTTTGCTCAGCAGAGCTGAAGCAAAGAAGTATATCCATCTAGACCACCAGCAAAAAAAAACTAAGACATACTTGGTTGAGGAGGGGTTATAAGTGGGGGCTGGCTTACAATTTTTCTGTTTGCCAGTATCCAGGCCTCCTGTGGGCAGTACTATAACCTGGCTATAGCGGAATTCCTGTGTCCCTATAAAACTAGGAAACGTAAGCATGCTGGTAGTAGAGATGGGGGGAAGTGTTTATCCCGCTATGCCTACAGTTTTTGGTTTGCAAGTGTCGAAGCAGTGAAGACTTCCTGTGTCCCTTAATGGACGCAAAAGAAAAAAAGTTACGTATACCTAGTCATAGTTCCTTTTTAAACAACAATATGCTGCCATGTTAGACCACTTCACGAAAATATAATGTCATTGATACATGAACATATGTTACATATTTAGTAATGTTACTGGTGCTTAAAGACGGCCATAGTGAGACCTGTCCATCCCAACATTGCCAATTTCTTGTTACAACCCTGATGCTGCAGTGTTACATCCAACATTCACGCAGGGAGGGTATCCAACGCTGATCTATGGGAAAGGAAACAAGTGAAGATGGTTCTGAGATTTCCAACACAGGGAAAGTCTCTTTACCAACACACAAGGCACCCTGTTACAGGTTTATGTGACCGTTGCATTACTTGCATACTGTTAGGCTGGTTTACTAAAGGATTTAAGAATGTTTACATTGTGTGAACGGTCAATTCAATTATCCAACCATGTGCAAATGAAATAGGAAAACTGGGATTTGCTTATGAAATGATTGGACAGTTGAAGTGAATCTTAATATGTCGCTTTATTGAAGAGTCAGAAAAGATAAAGACATATTCTGGGCACTTGTGAATGCCCTGGGCGGGAATTTTACTGGCCACCTAAAAACTGCAGAATGTGGGACTGCGGTACTATAACAACCAATCAGGCCCTTCCTTCTTGCATTTATGAGCAGGGTAGAAAACAGACCCTACACTATTAATTGGTTGCTATAGGTAACTTCCTTTCCCCAGCTGATATACATAGTCCCATTGTGTGAATAAAATAAAGAACATTACAGATCCAATAAAGGCCCATTTGATTGTCTTAATCAAAATTGCTTTAGTCACTGTCTGTGTCATCACTGTCCTCATCTTCAGCCTCCTCCTCTTCTTTGTTTTCTGATGTCTCTTCATTCAAATCAGCAAAAAAGTCATCCGCTCCTCCAAATGCCTTCTTGCTCAGGGCTGGCAACTGCCTGTTCTTCTTCCGCTTCCTGTAAACATCCACTTTGATGGACCCAATGGATGAAACGTCCCAGAACTTTACTTTCTGGTCATGGGCACAGCTGGCCAAGAACTTGCCATCATAGGACTTTGCCAGCTGCTCTATAGGTTCCCCTGGATGCTGGCCCACAGTGCCAATCACTCTGTTTGGTAAAATATTAATCGCCCTGTAAAGAAAAAAATATATTCTAAAGAAAAAGTTTTGCCGCACATTATTGTGCAAACGTTTGGCACTTTTTTATTTCACTTAATTATCTCAACAGCCGTACTCCCTGGTGCTCTGGCATCTTGGTGTATTTGAATAAAGCATCTACTCAGGGAATAAATATTCTTAACCCTTGCATTGGGGCTACCCCGGACTACAAGGGTTAAGTGCTTGTTTTCATCTAGGGACAAAAATAACAAAGTTATACTCACCTAACCCTTACAGCCGACTGGCTGTTAGACCAGTACCTTCAGCCTGTCTCCTCCTCCACTGCAGTGATGGAAGGTCCCTAGGCCTCCTCACGTCCAATACACTGTATTGGACGTGATGACTTCCGAGGACCTGAGATCGCTAGAGTGGAGAGGGAAGAGAGGCTTCAGGTACCGGTCTAAATGCCAGCCGGCTACGAAGTTCAGGTGAGTATAACTTTGTTATTTTTGTCCCTAGACAAAAATGAGCACCTAACTTGTAGTCCGGGGGTAGCCCCGATGCAAGGGTTAAGAATATTTATGCCACAGAGTTCTTCCTTAAGAAAGGAAAGCAGCTCTTCTATGAATCCATCACAATAATTCTCATTATATCAATTATACATATTACATGCTTCTGTTAAACAGTATGAGAATCTAAACATCTGTAAAACAGTTTGTGTATTCACATCATCCTCTCCAGGCCAGGAAACTCTCAGTCCAGAATCATAGTGGTAGGGGACTGCTGAGGAAGGAGTAATAAACATTACAATCAATCACTCTATGTGTTTTATTAAAGGAGAACTATGGAGTAACCCTATTTTCCCCCATAGTTCTCTTCAGGGTCACGGGAGGACATAAACTAACGTCCTCCTGTGACCCAAAGCTCAGTATATCGCGGGCTATTGCCCACTATATACTGAGAGCGCCGCGGCCAGGACAGATACCGACAATACTGTCGAGATCCACCCAGCTGGCTGATTGACAGCGGGCTCTGTCTATCTAGAGGCACATGTGTCAAACTCAAGGCCCAGGGGCCGAATCCGGCCCACCAGGCCGTTTCCTAAACTTCTACTTCAGACATAGGTATTAAGTTATTACTAAAACCAGTGATAATGGAATGCAGAGGCAATTATGATAAAGATTAGATACATTTATATACTCTTACAGGCCCTTTGAGGGCAACCATAATGTTGATGCGGCCCACGATTAAATTGAGTTTGACACCCCTGATCTAGAGGCACAGCCAGCTATGCCCGACCCTCACCCGTCCGTCTCTCCAGTCAGCGCTGGAGGGGGGGAAGGGGGGGAATCCCTGCAGGGAGCCGTGAGTGACAGTCACCACTCTGCAGGGAGATGATTAGCAAGTGAGCAGATCGGCGGCATGTTTTTGCTCACTTCCCAATCAATAGAGCCAACATGATTCACTCACCCCATAGCTCTCCTTTAAACAGCCTCTTACTTCAGGTACTCTATGTAAACAAGAGCAAGGGGTGCATAGACAGGCAAGTATCATTCAGATAGATGTCAGGAGACAAATAGAAAGCAGAACAGGCTCAGAAAATAATTTTCAGTTGTGCAGAATGGAGGACAGTGATAGACCTCAGGGCTGGTTTTATGGGGAAGACTTTAACAGTAAAAAAAATGCCATTATAACAGCTTCTTATGTATATTTCAGTCTGTAATCTTTGTTTTTATTTCTATCCTCTTGTTTCTTGTACAATGCACATTTACTCTGGCACAAGTATCCTTTACATAATGGAGTACATATAAAGCAGTGAATGTAGTAGTGAATCGATCACTGTCATTTATTTAAAAAAAAACATGCACCAAGAAGATTCACATGCAGTGAATGCTTTATCCATATATAGTATACAGTATATACTATACTACATAATATCTGTTCCATACTTATCTCTAGCATTTCTATGTTCTGTTGTATATTGTGTTTTATGGATTTATTTTCATAATCGATTGGTTGCATTAAAAAAATTCTCTCTCTCTCATAGTTGCCAACTATTCTCATAATCGATTATTAATGATTTAATTGATTAGGTGTTGCAGCCCTAGACTTTCTAGAGAGACATTTCTTACCAGGCTCAGTATATCCCCAATTGTTTTACTGACCTGATGACACCATCCATGGATCCAGTACACACAATATGATCATTAACTGGGATCATGCAGTCAATAGACTCTGCCTTCACTGCAAAACGATCACTTGTTGCTCCAAAGCCATTCCAATTAAACAGGTAGATTGTCCCCTCACTTGATCCACAAGCCACTTTTTTGCCCCTCTAAATAAAATGACAAATACATTTATAAAATTCATTAAAATTATTGCATCTCTAAAAAGGGAGATCAGAGAATCTGAGCCGACCTGTGACAATGAAACGGTCACACGTCGGCTCAATAGATCGGGAAGTGAGCGAACACATTCCGCCGCTCGCTCACTGGGGAGAGCAGTGACTGTAAGTCACCACTCCCCGCAGGGATTCCCCCCCTCCCCGCTCCGATCCTCCAGCGCTGACTGGAGGAACGGACGGGGGGGCAGGTACAGCTGGCTCTAACTCTAGATAGGCAGAGCCCACCGTAACTCACGCAGCTGGGTGGATCTTGACAGTAATGTTTGGATCCGTCCTGGCTGTGGCGGTCTCCGTATACTGCAAGCTATAGCTCGCGATATACTGAGCTTTGGGTCACGGGAGGACGCTAGTATATATCCTCCCGTAACCCTTAAGAGAACTATGGGGAAAAACACTTACCCCATAGTTCTCTTTTAAGCTCAATATATAGGTATTGGCATATATCAAGTTAAGGAGAAAACAAATATTTATTTTAATTTGGACAAATATGGAATATTAGATACAAACAGATCACATTTACCATCTACAGCCAACAGGTGCTGAGCACAAGTATAGCATTCCAAGTGATCCTCAACCTGGTTTACTATGCAGTGAAAAACCGGAACAGCCTGCGTTATAATAAACCTAATCTGCATGAAATCATATTACAGATCCACAGCTGAATAAGTGAAAGAATGGCAGTCCTGCAAGTCACTGTACAGTTGCTGCTGCATCCTTGCTTTTTTTCACTAGGTTTGGCATCATGTCTCACTGCATACTTTATTTTTTTTTATGTTTTGTGAATCTGTGACAAAGTTTCTTACCTGGAGATCCTGCCAGTAAAAAGCTTTCAAGATTTAAGCTGACAACTCTAAGCCACTACCTTGCAATTAGCAACATCACATACATCACATCACAGTACCAACCTTCATTATAGAAATAGATGTCAGGTCTCCATTCTGGTATTCAGACAGTAACTCAAACCTTCGTCTCTTTATGTTGAACACACCCATGGTTCCATCTCCACTACAAACAAACAAACAAAAAATTAAGCGTGTCAACTTCTCCACAAGCATTTATTATAGGTTGCAGTCACCTTCACCATGGGCACTAGCAACCTCACCCTTGTAAGTAATTGTTCTTCTCAATAATACCTCTCGCATCACATTTGTCTGGGGTAGCATACGATGGCTTCCTCATGAAGATATAGATAGCAATAAAAACCTGACAGAGGTACTAAACCTTTCCCACTCTTATCTAACACTAACAAAATGTTTTGGCTGGTGTTCGACTTTAGTTTTTTCTTTCTCTCCCTCTCTCCTTTTTTTTCCACCAATGGTTTTTCTTTAGGATCTGTAAACCAATCATACTTCTCTCCGATCCTTCCTTCCCACGGCAGGAAAATGTCCTCTCAAGCTTACCAGAAATGCTGGCAGATATTGAAAATAAAATATCAACAAGATACATATATTATTGCAGGGCTCAAAATTTCCACTTGCCTGCTCGCATTTGGCGAGTAAAAATAAAGTGAGGGCGAGTGAAAATGTGGGTCTCCAAGCAGGGGTATCCCGAGGCTGGGTGACACCCGGAGCGGTAACCGAGTGTCACCCCGCCGAGACGT